GCCTAACCTAAAATTCGTTACGCCCTGTCTGAAATTGCCAGTGTTGCTCCACCGATCGTCACGCGAAACAGTATACAGCCCAGCCAACGCAATGGCCCGGGGATAACTAAATTCAGCGATTCTTCGGCCTCAGAGTAAAGTCATAAACACTCACCTCCGAATTCAACCACGCTGGGTCTCTACATTTCGTGCTCAGTTTCCAGCTGGGACTCGTGAAGTAATTTTCAGTGTGGTGGGCGGAGAAGGCACGGTAGCCTGAGTATTTAGCACAGTATGAGTTACACAATCTGCATCGGCCTCTGGAGAAGGAAATGCATTCGGAGTCGCCCGAGAAAGGTTTTCATGAATTCCGAAAATGTAGTTGGCTTCCTCCCAGCCCACAGAAGCAGCTCATAGGTACTCTTTCAACCCGACCTGGGACCAGTTTTACTGTCGCGGTCTGCTCCACTTTCGTTAAAATGCTGAACGAATCTACTGATGTTTTCTATTCCTGGAATAACTGTGTGCTCTCGAAAGGCGATATGGAGCAAAGCCCGACTTGGTTATCTCCCACTTTCATCTATTCTAAGCGGTGACATGATTGCTGTTCAGTTTGGAATGCAAAGATATATTTGGCATGGCTAATTTTTCTTTTGTGGATGAACCATTCTCGATTGTTTTTGCGTCAACATGCCGGGTGGGCTTACTTTCAAGTTTCAAGTTATTACTTATGCTGATCCAACTTGCATGATACCACAATAAAGAACCTCGACTGATGCTGCCTTGTTCATATGTAGAACAGAGTTGTCCATCAGTAACCCAGGCCATCATCTCGCGGGGCAGCGCAACAACCGGCAACGTGTCCGGCGTGGGACGGAATACAAACGTCTCTTCCAATCGGCGCGATACCGCAGAGCGCGAACGGCTCACTCAGAAGGCTGTCAGCTTTGCATACAATGAACTGATCCCCACTCGGAATTTCAAATGGAGAGTCGCCTCTGTCGATAGGGCCTCATAAATACTCCACTGACGCCTGATGAGACGTGAACGTATTTCTGATCCAGTTCGAGACTGCGGGTCGGCTATCCGTATAGCGCTATTTTATAGCGCCCACGAGGGCATCCGCTGAGTGCTGAGTGTTGCATTGAGGTAAAATAAACCCAACCGATTTTTGTTAGTTAGTTACGGTCCTTGACATAAATCTTGTAGCTTTTTTTGCCCTCACATATTAATCCACCACTCCTGTAAGATACACTGTAGCCATCCAATTTATCCGCATTTTTTACTTATTGTATGCATTACAACATTACAAGCATTACATATGAGTAGGTATTGCATGCAAGTATTATAAGGAATTACATACAAACATGTATGTAAATACCCAAATGAGCTTTATCATATTGCACCACTAATGCAGCTGATGACACTAAGTTCACACCCTTTCCAGCCGTGTTTGAATTTAGAGCACTTTCGATGGACAAGATTTCGCATGTCGTTCCCGAGCTTCATGATTCGGCTGTTTGTCATTATATGAGCAACACCACACGCTCTATATGATAAATGTGGGTACCTATATTCATAATTATTTACGTACGATTACGTACGTCGGCACTCTCCCGTTCGCCCACCGTGGCGTAGAAGAGTGTGCTTCGCTGTTATCAATCGACTCCCCGTCGATCCGGACGGCGAAACTCGCTCGCGGCAGTGCGGGAGGGCCAGAGGGCCCACCGTCAGCCTAAAACACCGCTGTGCTCTCAGCAAGGGCAGGTAGACAGGCCCTTATGTAACGTGCTAAATATTTAACGGTTTGTGGTGGGCGCTCAATCGCCTCGGGGTGGTCGTTTGGAGAGTCCCGCGCCCCTGCGCGTGCTCGTTCAGTCGATTCTGGTATTTTATTCACGCTTGGCATTCGCGTGTGGTCCTTGTTTGATTGTATTTCCTGCAGGAGAAAATGCGGCTCGGAATAGAAGTATATGAAATAGTGAATGTGCTGCAATTGACTAAATGTGTGCTCTTGTATTATGGAGAGGTCATGTTGCGAGATGGCCACTTAACCCGCGCCCTGCTGGGGGTCCTGGATTTCCACGCCCTGCTGGGGGGGGGGGGGTGTTTGAACACCCCCCCCCTTGTAACTCGGCTCCTGGGCCACGTAGCGATACGCGGAAGGCGGCGTCCGAAAGAGCGTAAAAAATAATGACGAAATCACTTCGGTCAATTTTTTGGTCAGGTCAAAGGTCAGGTCACCAGAGGTCATTGAAGGCAAAATTTCGCCGATTTCCAGGTCGAATATCGAAAATTTCCAAGAAGCCAACGCATAACTCGGGAACCAATAGAGCTACAGCGCCGCGGAAAAGCGCATTCGATAGCCCTATTAACGCCCTTTCTGAGTAATTCTCTCAGATTTGACCTAACGTCAACGGTTTTGCCTGCAGGGGGCAAAAACTCCAAAAATAGCCGATTTTTTCGGAAACAGTTTTTCTGCAATAACTTTTGACCCAAGCCTTGTACGAGTTTACTTTTACCGGCATCGTGTTCCTCTCGTCAAGACGCATCGAATGAACTATAACTTGACCTAGAAAGGTCAACTTGAAAATTTGACCTCAGGTCAAGGTCATGACCTGACCGGAAAGGGTCATGTTGCATATCAGTCGATCCGTATCGTCGAGCTGAACACATCTAAGGCGTTTTCATCGCTCTAGCATGCCTCTATCAAAAGTTATTTGCGAAAAACTGTTAGATACCATTCGTGACCTAAGATGACCTCAGGGCATAAACAAGGGTCACGGACACCATTTTTAAGTTCAGTGTGTCTAAACCACTTGTAATTCGGTGTTTGGGAGTGTTTATAATGTCTTTCATCCAAAAGAGGCGCATTTCAATTTTCTCCCATTGACTTATAATGGGGAGGTCGCAAAATTGACCTGACCTTAGGTCATCGATATCAAAATTCTGAGATATACATTTTGTACATGCTATTGCTCTTAGCAATCGCTGAAAGTTTCAAAGCGATCGGTCACTCGGTGTAGCTATGACAGACATTGAAAGTTTTTATGAGGTGAGGTCACTTCAAGTGACCTGGTGACCTGACCTTGAATGACCTTGGTCTGAAATTTTCACAACATGTGTAGAATTGATGTATGATAAGGTGTACCAAAAACGGCGGCGCTCCGCGCCGCCGTTTTTGAGATATTCGCGAAAAACCACAAGGGGGGTGTTCAAACACCCCCCCAGCAGGGCGCGGGTTAAAAAGATGTTTATCTGCACTGGCATGAATGACCGTCATTTCGTGTTATGCCAATTCAACCTTATCCAGACTTGTCATCTTTTCCCTCCCGACCACTGACGAAAGGGAGAGTGTCGTCTGGCGATCCCTACCTGTCCTTTCACCACGCACTGTTGAGTCTGAGTTTCCCGGAAAGATGAGCTTGCGCTCGTCACAAGGCGCACTGAATAGTGCTAAAGTTCAAGGTTTCACGTCAACCAACGACCTCAACGGTTTATACCAACATTGAAGGTAACCCATTTGGGCTTTGGTTAGATGAAAGGTATAGTGTTGACAGAACTTATCCGCGCTTTTTCTTGCGTGCTTATGGTTAGACACCGATTCATCGCTCTAAATTACTTTGTACCTATCATTTTTGCTGATGGACCATATGTAAGGTTGGAAAGTCTATAAATATCTCAGAAACCTCAATACCTATGAAAATCGTTATTCCTTCCTGACCCTATCCCTTCACCAGAGATGACCGGCTGGACCGTCGTTTGCTTATCGAAATTGACTGTGAGAATGCCGTTTTGACCAATAATTAACTGTGGTTCCGTGAGCATCATCTTTTGCAACCTGTAATCTGGCTCATGGCACTCTCAATTGACCCGAAGCTAGAGTCTTCGTTCGTTATAAATGGGAAACATTGCATTTTTCATTTAGGTGAAGTCACTGGATGTCACTTTAGCCGTTATTACCCCTTGAACCAACTTTTGTAAAAATCAACAGAAACCTTTGTCAAAAAAGGTGATAAGGGCTATGAACTTTATGCCTGGGACGATCCATCACGGAATACGCCACTGCACCATTAATATCGTGGTGGATCTGATACACCTCACTCAATAACCTCAATCACCTCAATCACCTCAATCAATAACCAATTCTATATTGATGGACATTTTGAGTTGACTTCACAAATCCTAATCTCACCGGGCCTGCGCTGCTCACTAACCGTCCAAACGTTCCGATTGGTCACCGTCTCGTGAGTTTCAGTTCGTGGTCTCAGGACGGCCCCGCACGCTGCGGTCATCTATTCGCTGTACGATACGCATACGATACGCATACAAACCTACGATACGCATACAAACCTATCTGACCGGTGGGGAACACGGGACCTCGTACTTATAACGTTTTACCCCCGATCCATGCCAGCTCCTCCTAGCTCGAAGAGGCGTGGTGTGAGCGTTTTTTTTTTTAACTGGAGGATCGATTCAAACTATTTCATCATTCATAGGTAGTCCAAAAAGTAAACGTCCCGACTGAAGATAAGTCTGTAGCCTCTGTAGGTATGTTCTATCTGCAGAAATGAATCAACGAAAACATTTCATCGAAACATGCGGAAGCTCTCGGTGCACATGACATCTACAGTCTACACGGAGTCGTTCTCGGATCATTGGCCGGTCCCAGAGACATGACCTCTCGGCTCTTTACGGCATTCACGAGGTGTAGGTAACTTTTGCATAATGCCTATCAAATTATGCATCAGCATCTGAACGGCGGGGTAGGCACCGTGGAGAAGAGGGCAATCTTCGATGCCTAGGAAATGCAGTAGTTAACTGCTCACGGGTCCCTTCCATGGTGTACTCTCCTCCCCTCACGCGCATACGAACCGATTTCGGTGCGAACTGTTCTCCGTCTCCCAACAATCCAACCACCGTGACCACCGTGCCCCGACCCTCCCCGGCCGGCCGAGCGGCGGTGGCGGCGGCCCGCCCCTTCCCCGCCGCCCCTCCGCCGGACTCAACACGTGGCACTCAGTACCCGAGTGATAGTGACAGCCGGTGGCCGGCCGGACGTCGTGTGTCTGGCTGGGATCGGTACGGTGACGCGTAGTGACGCCCGTGTCCGCGGGGCACGTACGTGGCGCTGGCGGAGAGCACGTGCCGGGTCAGGGGCCGGACATCTGTCCTGAGTCCTGCGGCCAGACCATGGTGCCAGCTGACGAGGCGGTTCTGCGCCGGCGCGTCAGGGTAGGTTCGGGCGACCGCCGACAGGTGGCAGGGCCGTCAGCGGCCACTGGGTCGGCTTCTGCTGCGAGCGGGCGCGAGCCGCGAACGGGATGGGAGGGTGCCCCATGACCGCGAGTTCTCTACCGTGGACCGCGGGTGGGGCGTTTGGGTCAGTACGGGCCCCCGTCGCGGTCCGAAGGGGCCCTGATCTGGCCAGCGTGCGATCAAGCACTGACGAGTTGCAACCGATGTAAACTTTGGCCACATGTGTGTATGCGCCCACAATCCACATTCCCGGCAGTTTATCTCAAACAGATGCCGTGGCAGGTTACCCCCGGCCTTGGTCCGTGACGAGGCATGCATTGCAGGGCTCGCGTCGTCGCGTGATCAGTCTGGCAGTGAGCAGGGCTTACAGCTGTTCGAGACCGACGCGGTTTGTTATGCTTAGGCACTCTTTTAACTCGAACCGTTTGATGGCCTTGTTGGGAATGCAGCGTCGAGTTTGTTTTTCGCTTAGTCCCGGATCAGTCGTGCGTGTAAATTGCTGTTGATGGCAAAGCAAGTCGGCCTGAATCATGTTTGGAATGTCTTTAGTCGCCTCCTCATTTACGGTGTTCAACTACGGACATCTATGATCCACGCCCTCTTCTTACAAGGAATTAATCAGTAGACTAATTTATCGCGATATATCATAAATACATGTTTCTCCATATTCGTACAATACAACGTCCAAAACCATACGATAGTTGCCAAGTCCAGACAGCCTTCAACTCCAATGGCCGCATTGGATCGATCTCCCCGTACCGATATCGCCCAATCCGATATCCTCTTCTGACATCTTTTCTGATCTCTCACCTCTCCCCCGGTAGGATGACCTCTCTCCTCACATCTGCCCTCTCCCCCGGCAGGCGCCGCAGGCTATGACCTCTCGTGAGGAGCTCGCCATGGATCCGCACTCAGTGACGTTCACCAAGAACTCGGGCGTGTTCGTGACTCGCCGCTGCGGTCTGCTGCTGCTGCTTCTGTTCGCCGGAGCCCTGCTGATCACCGGTCTCCTCGTGCGTCACTTCCACGGCACTTCGTGTCAGCAGGACGGAGCCAGCGCCGGGGACTCCGCCGCCGCCGGCGCCGGGCCCACACTGCCCACCAAGCCGCGGGATGTCCGTCTGCCGCGACACCTGGCCCCCGAGGGGTACAAAATCCGACTGCTGCCGTTCATCGAGGAGGGCAACTTCACCTTCAATGGCGAGGTGACGGCCACCCTGCGCGCTGACGCCCCCGGCAAAAACGTCACGCTGCACGTGAACGAGATGATCGTGCTCAACGATTCGGTCACGGTGAAAGACGCGACCACGGGTAAGATGGTCGGCATGGCGGGCTACAAGTACGATACGGACCGCGAGTTTTTCATCATCCTGCTGGAGCGGTCGGTGGAGGTGGGACACAAGTACGAGGTGTACGTCAAGTACATCGGCAGCCTCACCGACAAGCTGGCCGGGTTCTACCGCAGCAGCTACAAGACGCCTGAAGGAGAAAAACGGTGAGTGCGAAGGTCGCGGGCTGGGGAGATAGTCCGCAAAGCTCGCCGGGATAAAAGCGAGAGTGGAGCAGGAATAACGCCGATGTGATCTGACGTCTAATCGCATGGTGCCGTATAATCACGTTATCTGCCTTCATTCCCTTAGCGGGAACAGGAAAATTATGCACTTATTTCATTAACTGTCATTGCGTTACTGTTACGGCACATTTCATCTATTGGTCTGTCGTCTGATGCCTAAATATTGCGTCGTTTTTCCTTAGATATGCTGCCTATTATCCTCAGTTTATGTGCCCATAGTTCCTCTCGGTTGTCAAGTTCGATTACACAGGAACATAGCGGATCTCCTTAAACATGCATTAGGTCTTCATCTATCCTTATACCCTATTCATGTCCCATCTATTCATCCATCTACTCCCTCGCCTGTTCGTTCGCTTGCCAAATCTGACAGTAATGCTCATGGACCTCATTGCTCCTTGTTTCTCTGTTGACGCTTTGATGGCCCGTCGGTGCCGGCCGGTCGGTCGGTCCTCAAGTCTAGGTTGTCGGCATTGTGTATGTGAAGAATCAGACATGAGATGTGATATAACTATTCGAGCGATGATAACAGTAATCATGACAAAAGCCTTCTTAGGATTTTGTGTCTGTGATTGTTGTCATCCTCGCTCGAAGTTGTCGGCATTATGGCATCCTTTCCCCCATATACGTCACACTCATCATCACGTGACGTTTTCGCCCGTGGCGCCTCGGTAGGTGGATTGCCGTCACCCAGTTCCAGCCGACGGATGCCAGGAAGGCGTTCCCCTGTCTGGACGAGCCGGCCCTGAAAGCCACCTTCCAGATCACGCTGGGCCGGCGGAAGACGATGACGTCCATCTCCAACATGCCCATCAAGATGACGGAGCCGCAGTGAGTCACTGAAGGCGGTGTGGGTGATGCTTGATTATGAGTGCGTTTCTGAATGTATAATGGTAGTGGTCGCATTGGATCTCAATGTTATTAAACATCAAGTTTTCTTTTGCATAGGTTTCCAGCATGGGAAATTCATTGTTAACCATTTCCGCTCATAACGCTGGCCGTGGTGACCAAGCACATGTACGAGTTAACCCTCGCGGGCCCGGGGGGGGGGCGTTTTTCGCCCCCCCCCCTGGCGAATATTTGCGATAGCTCCCGAACGCTTAGGGATAGGAAGGCGAAACTTTCAGTACCCTTTCTCCCATCAATTTGACATCTTCTGAAGTAAAAAATTTGGACCTAGCCCCCTTGATGACGTCACAAGGTCCATTTTTCTAGACCCCTGCACGGCAAACTTCGGCGTCACAGACGCAAACTTCAAATAGCTGCTAAAAATAGAGTTTTAGAGATAAAGACAAATTACGAGCACGGTTGTGTAGCGTTTGACCTAGAGAAAAATAGAAAAATAGTTTTGGTGACCTGAGGTCAGAGGTCAGGTCAACGACCCCGAAATGTGGTTTTAGTTTTTCGCAAATAACTTCGACAAAAATGGTCCTAGAGCTACGGCAGTGGTACCATCGCATTCGCCTTGTCAAGCCGCGTCGAATGATATATATTTTGTTCGGAAAAGGTCAATTTTTATGTTGACCTCATGTGACCTCGAATGACCTCTGGTTGACCTTGACACATGAAAGGTCGTTTATGATGGATTTGTACCCGCTGATCACGAATCTGGCATCTATTTTCCTCTAAGCCTTCATTTAGAGCTTCCGGATTGCAAAATTGTCTTATTTATTATTACTAACTTGAATCAGTGAAATAGCCTCTAGCAGGGATACTCTTCTGTGACCTTGACCTTTGAGCAGCCTTGTATCGTAAGATGAACCACAAATAGGGAACTGATAAGCCTCAAAACATTTCAAGACATCTTGAAAGTTAGCACGCAAGATATGCGAAAAAGTGCCAAGTTTGAGGTCAATTTTGAGCGTGATCTTGACCTTGACCTTTCACTTTGAGCACATTTTCAGAATCCTCAGATGCTCTTCTTTCGTTTGACAGCCAATTTTGCCGGTTTGATGCAGCCTGCCGTCCTCTAGAAGGCTTACTTTGAGATCACTACACATGTGGTGGTTTTTGCCTTTGACCTTGACCTCTGACCTTGAAAATTGACCTGAGGTCAAAAATTTTAGGTGCATTAGAATCGTCTCGTAAGGACCTTTCGTTTGGTATCGCTTTTGTTTCCGTAGCTCCCTTATTTACGGAGTTAGACAGGGGGGGGGGGGCGAAAAACGCCCCCCCGGGCTGTGGTGGTTGGGATTACCCCCCGGGCCCGGCCGGGTTAAAGGTAAAAGGCAGGCCTTGTTTCTATGTCAACACACATTTATTATTCACGAGTCGCTCACCGTTTTATCCCTAATGAACCAATAAGTGGACTCGTATTTACATGTAACAAAATCTGCAGGCATCCCCATGTAAAGGGGACTAAATCCAAGAGACCTGATGAGCTGAATCATGCTGGATATTTGCTATTTTAAGCGCAAATGACTGTGACGTACATACCTACAACGTTTTATTAGAACCCGCCTCGGTAAAAGCTATGTTTGTATCACTGAATAACGCTTTTTCCATTTCATCCATCCGATTCAAACCAGTCACCTGGTATCTGTTTCAGCAAGGAGATGGCCGGCTACGAGTGGGACATCTACGAAAAATCCGTCCCCATGTCCACCTACTTGGTGGCGTTCGCCGTCACCGACTTCGCCGTGCGCGAGTCCGACCCCGGCCTGAGCAACACCCTCTTCAGAGGTCAGTTGAGCTCTCTCTCTCTCTCTCTCTCTCTCTCTCTCTCTCTCTCTCTCTCTCTCTCTCTCTCTCTCTCTCTCTCTCTCTCTCTCTCTCTCTCTCTCTCTCTCTCTCTCTCTCTCTCTCTCTCTCTCTCCCTCCCTCTCCGTCTCTCTCACTCTCTCCCTCCCTCCATCTCTCTCTTTCTCTACCCAACGGCCCGGCCGTTCAGCTCACCACGCTCGGGCACTTAGCGGCGAAATTGCCGCGCCGGAGAGCCTGCAAATCTGGACGCGTCTCCGGCGCGTGCCATGACGGCTCCATTCAGGAGTCATTCCGGCCAATCTCTCAGCTCCGGCTCCTCGTCTCGCGCGGCGAGCTTTGGTCGTCTTTTCACCGTCGCCAACTGGCCACTCGGCCGTCGGCGTCGCTTGGACGGGCGTGAACGGGTCGGTCGCTTGGCTCGAGTGTGCCGGCTTAGTGGCCACTCTGCCGCCCATGAGATTGTGAAGTGGCCGAGAGAAAAATCGATAGAAACTAGGAGCAAGGCTTGTCGTGCCGTGGCCGCGATGTGATTCACTTTGGTTTACGTCTATGCGGATTTCTAGAAGTACCACACGGACATGATGTTACTGGCCGTATTGTGGGTATGCTCTTTTATAAGCGGGATAAAAATTACCTTCCTGGTATTCTGTTCGTACATTAGGAATTTATCTTTTTTCTACGACTGCCTGCCCGAGAGCTGGCCTCGTCATGTGGCCGTGCCGGCCGTGACGGTGTTGTTTTGCCTTCGCACGTCAAAAACCGGTTGTGCCGGAGAGCTACGGCGCGGCGTGGCTGGGCGGCCGTAAGACGTCACTGCTCACCGCCCGCACTATTGACGTCTTATGAGGCCGCCGTATCGGGCCTTATGGGCCGACGAAAAAGGGAACTGACCTACAACTGCCGACAATATTCGGCCGCTACAGCCGTGGCCCGGTGTATATTGGAAGGGATTTATGCACATCGCAGGGATGAACGGGCAATGATGTGCGAGCCGAATATGATATGAAGTGGCATATAGGGCGGTGAGGCTATCTCCCCAGTGTTACCAGGCAGGAATCGGACGTGGCAAAAATATTTGAGTCCGGGCCTTTTGTGTAGCATTTAGCTGAAACATCAGTTTCTTTTAGTTATCTATCTTTGCACCGAAAATCTGATAATTGCAGTATGATTACCATTTTAGACCTGTAGGAAACTACCACCTTCTAAAATGTTGTTAATACTACTCAGTAAATGTGCCCGACTTTATAGAATGGATGACCAGGAAACACGGTTCTGGCATTATTTTTTCATTAAACATCTAGGCTTCCCATAGGTATTCCAAACACAAACTTTCAAATAAGTGACGTCACAGCCAAAATACCTCCTTCCCCAGGCCATTACTGTCATAAAGCTGATTCTTTTACTCTGTAGGCACC